TATGCTCGAATTTGAGTTTTAAAGTTTTGGGTTTTAAGTTTTTATGAAATTGGTTAATGTATGTTTTTCATTTTAACTTAATTAACCTATATGGTTGTGTTTCTAGGGGTTTAAGGAGTGGTTTGGTGGATGGTCTTGGCTTGTGGTGGTGAGGAGGTGGTGTTGAAGTTTCAACCATGGAGGTTTTCGATCTCCATGGTTGTGATGCTTGGGCCTTGAAAGAGGGATCTCCCTAGCTAAAACTGACCATAAGAATCCATTTTATGACCTTAAAAATAGATTTAGAGGCTATTAAGGTGGTTAAAATGCAAGTTGCAGCGCTGATATCAACTTTGTCAAACCGGATCGGTCAAGCATTTGATAGGTGCTACTTTAATCCATGGAACATCATAATAAAATAATAGAGTCGTAGCGTAGCATAGTAAAATAACTACTATATACAAACCACATATTATTGTATAAACATATGCGTAACTTACATGCACATTTTAACTTATTACAAACTACTATTCAGTTAAGTACATGTTACCTAGTAGATTTTCTTATATTTTATTACATGCTTCGGATATATCTTCCTACGTTATACAGAAACCCTGACAAGTTATTATAGCATAGTTTAGCATTATTGAGCAAAAGCGAAACGAGCATTTGATACATATAAACAAAAACATCATATGCAAAACAGTAGCATTTAAGCAAAATGGTACAGTAAAAGAGAGTTTAGATCTTCAAGTATACTGTTACACTAGTGGACAATTCATCCTAATAAACCACTTAGGGTCCATACGAATATACGATCCAATATTTTGGAGGACTTTCACCCTGAGTAAGATATGCTCCCTAGTCAATGTTCAGTATCCCAAGTCCAAAGACCAACTGGACCACCCAAATATTTACAAACTCATTGAGTACCCTCTATAGCCTCAAACTGAAATTTAAATCTTTTTACCACTCGACACATGTGAATTTATATTTATTTTAAAAGGATTCTAGAATCTCATTTCACATGATCAAAGCAATCATTTCAAACAGATGTGCATTACAGCACTCAAAACCCTAATTCGGATCTATAATTTTCAGTCAAAGTTCAAAAACACAATCATATGATTTTAAACATGCTAAAAATTCATGAATAACGTAAGACATAAATTAAAATTAAGTTTTAGGAATGCTCCATCTGATTCGGCATTGAGAAACTTTACCTGCTCGGTATTTTGATCTAAAATAGCCAAAAATTAAATATCATTATTTTTTCATGAAATTTAATAAACATACTTAATTAACCTTCTCAAAATGAATATAAAATTTAGTTTCTCAAAATCACCCAAAAATTGGGTCAAATTGGTCTTGGAGGCTAAAATAGCTATTTTACTTCTCATTTTGATCCGATCGTTGGATCAATTTGAAATTTTACTAGAACCTCCACACGGACATTACGGAAATTTTGGCACTAACTAAAGGTCGATTGGATGTCAAACGCACCCTCATGCACCGACAGGTGCATTGGTGTACCTTCTCTCTCTTCATCTTCTTCTTTTGTCTCCTTGACCAAAAACCATAAATTTCCCATTTTTTGCTTCAACTACCCCACTTCTTTCATCTATTTATCCTTCTCCAGTATACCACTCATCCTAATTTTTGAACCTAAACACTCACCACACATCACTCTAACAAACTCCACAATTTTTAAGTTTCGAATTAAGTTTAATTCATCCAAAAAAAAAAAAAATCGACCAAAGTTAACAAAATATAAGATTTTTAGTTTATGGCTTGACCTACAACTTGCATTTTAACCACCTTAACAANAAAACCGACCAAAGTTAACAAAATATAAGATTTTTAGTTTATGGCTTGACCTACAACTTGCATTTTAACCACCTTAACAACTTCAAAATCCATTTTTAAGGAAATAAATGGATTCCTATGGTCTATTTTAGCTAGGGAGATCGAAAACCCCCATGGTCGAAACTTCAACACCACCACAAGCCATGGCCCGCCATCAAACCACCGCTTGAGTCCCCAAAAACACAACCATATGGATTAATTAAGTTAAAATAAAAAAGTATACATAAACCCATTTCATGAAAACTTTAAACCTGAAACATTAAAAATCAAATTCAAGCATAACCACTTACCCAAATCAAAAACTAACACCACCAATGAATTTCTAGCATCCTAATTAGGCTAGATGTATACAGTTGATTGTTTGAACAACCCGAAACTCAAACTCTTACACTTTCTCTCTACCTTCTCTCTTCTTGGAGGTTCTACCTCATCCAGAGACCCAGTTGAAACCTTGAGCACATACTCAAACATTCTAGAGGCTTGGAGAAGGATAGGGAGAACCCTACTGCTACCAGGCAGCGGCTTGGACATGTCTGTCAGCCTGCCATGCAAGGGTAGTTTGATAATTTCTCAAAATTTAAAATTAATTTTTAAATATTTTTTTAAATCAAATATACATTAAAACATACCCAATAAAATTATCCATTTAATTTTTAGGGTCCTTGGTTATTGACTTCAGTGCAGTACCCCAAAAAGATTCTTTTGGAACCATAGTGGCCTTAAATGTCATGAATATCTCAATTTATGTTCATGTCTTAAATATATTCCTCAAGCGTCAATTATACTAGTTTAGTCTTATTTTTTTTGTTGAAAAGATTAGCCAAAAAGCTAATGACATTTATTTTGTTTGTCCTTGAATTGTGGTTTTTTAGTTTCTTGTTTCTTTTACATGATAAATTAGAGACCGGTTGTTACAAATAACATTCATAATTTAAAATTGAGACCTTTAGGGCTTGAACATCACATTAAAACTCATCAAAAAAATTTAGGGTACATCCATGATTTTGTATTTTTTATTTTTTGGTTCAGTCAGGTGTTTTGACCAGTTTATGCACACCTAGACCAATCTTCTCCCCATTCACATTAAAATTAGGAAATTCATGAAGAATTTATCCCTCATAGTCTAATTGTCCTAAGGGGTTACCAAGATTCAAACTTATGACGTCTGTGTAAATATTTTGTTATATCACTATGTGGATAGCTAGAGAAAGATGATTGGCCTAGTTGTTGGCACCTTTCCCACCTTATCCCCCATTGCAATGTTCAAGTCCCACTTTCCCCATCCCATGTATATCGTAATTTATCCAAAATAAAATATGTGGATAGATGCATAACTATATATTCTTGTGCACTAGATTTTTATTTTAATATTTTGTGTTTGGCATGGTGTTATTAAGGGAGGATGTGAATTCTTTTGGGGAAGGGTATGCGACAAGGTCGGATGACGAAGGGTTTGGAGGAATCTATGGAGGGAAACAATCTCTCCCTGATAAAGAAGATGACAAGATTGTCCATGGGAATTCTCCTGGTAATCTTACTTAATTTTCTCCCTTATTCAACATTGGAAGTTCCTAAATTTGTCAGCAAGTCTCAAACTTTGAAACATGATCATGAAAATTAAGGGTGTATATGGAGCATGATTTGTGTGATTTTCAAACTGAATGAGATCTAACTAGTTATTAATTTCTAGATTGAAGAAAAACTAGCTATTAATTTGAACTTCTTGTTCTCTAATTTCAAGAGGATTTCAAACTAGTGATATTGAAGTTTTCTTTGCAATGTTTCTCATACATTTCGATTCAATTAATTATGTTATTGTGTTGTAATATTGCTCAGATAAGAGTCATAGTTCGCACATTTTAGTTATAGTCATGTATATTTGTTTCATATTTATGAATAGTGATGGTACACAAAAATGGATTTATGAACCATTTAAACTATATTTTGTTTGTATTAACTCTCCTCATTCATTATTGCATTAAATATTTGACATGTGATACATAATTCACTTTTGTGTTTCATCAAATGTGGGACAGANGATATTTGTTTCATATTTATGAATAGTGATGGTACACAAAAATGGATTTATGAACCACTTAAACTGTATTTTGTTTGTATTAACTCTCCTCATTCATTATTGCATTAAATATTTGACATGTGATACATAATTCACTTTTGTGTTTCATCAAATATGGACAGAGCAAATTTGAAACCAATTCAAGTAGTAGAAGAGTTATATTAGGCAGAAACTCGATAATAGANGTGGGACAGAGCATATTTGAAACCAATTCAAGTAGTAGAAGAGTTATATTAGGCAGAAACTCGATAATAGAAGGATGAAGGGCGATCTAGACTACAGTTTTATTTGAGTTATTTTTCCTAGGAAATCATCATCGTGTGCTAACTATATTTTTAATAGAAACACGTGTGTATATGCCCTATTTGTGTATCATCAATGCATAGATGGTCAAAACTATCAAATATTTTGAATTGATTTTTACAAGTTAACGTATTATACCTGGAATATTAAAAAACAAACAGGAATATTTTTGGAGTGAGGTGGTTTGGTTAGGCCTTTTGATCCGTTGATAACCCTAGTTAAGCATCACCCAAATTTCTCTACTCTCATTTCTATTAATAGGAAAATGATACTATTGCCTTTTGGTTTGTGTGTGTGGTGTTTTTTTTTTTTTTTTTTTT